TTTCAACGGCGGGCAGTGCTTTAGGTGTTGCCGCCAGCGTTTAGAGGAAAAGACAGCTTCCCACCCAGCCCTACCGACATCGAAGTTCGGAAAATACAGAGACTATAGTATAGACTACCCCCTAGACGCGATCGAGACAGGAGGACCCTCAGTTTGAGGACCCTTATCACAGGTATTCATATATACTCATAAAGAACCACATTTTCGTAGGCAAAACCGAAGCCCGCCAAGGGCGACTCTCTCCCAGAAGAAGTCGCTCCAAAACGCACTGCTCACGCAAGACTGGCGGCACCGGGCCGAGTTGCTGTTGATTTAATGTCACTACTGTTGCTGTCGTTGTGCTTCTGCTTGTTGTTTGTTTGTGATGGTTGTTGTTGCCACAGCACCCAGGTCGACGAGGATCCCCAGTGATGGCCCGAGGAATTCCGCATTGAGGGAGCCGCGCTGTTTACTGAGCAGTGATAGCCCCGTCGACAGCATTGGCGTGATCCCGGTTGCTTTGGACTCTCTTCGCGTCGTGGTTTCTTGTTTGAGCTCAGTGCAGAGATTCGTGGGTAAACCTGAAGAGTCGCGTGCCTGGTAGTGTTCGAGGCCAATTCCGAGAGCAGCAGCTTGCTGTGGCGACATGTCCTGTGAGCAAGAGCACCCGCCTTGGTTGAGAACAACTCCACTTTCTGACGCTGCACCGTTTTCGATTTGGAGCTGCGTTCGTGCCTCAATTCTATAGTGCAGGTGTTCAAAGCTTTCTGGAAGTGCTTCTCGCATTCCAACAGTGTCATGGAGGTTGCTTCCATTGTGGTTGTGATCTGTTGCTGCTGATATGATGGTGTTGGTGGCGGTAACTACTGCGACCTCATCGTCATCGTAGTGGGGGCGGCACGAGGTAGTGATAGTGAGGATTGTTACCATGATAATGAGGAAGCGCGCGCTGGGCGATTGCGAGGGCGATTACAATGTGTAGCCCTGCAAGAAGCCCTTGGTTGAGCTATTCAGGGAGCTAGATCTGAAACAGCTCCGGCGGCCCGGGCTTCCTTGCAATGCTCAAGCTCGCAACCCAGTTTACAAACACAATGAAGCGATAATTGGCTGCAAGCCATGAATCAGAAACACCTAAATCACGCCAGCCCAGTTCTACTCTCCTTTTGTTCCCAAGGCCTGCAGACAAGCCTCACGAATTTCCTAGAGATCAACTTTGCATCGACCGACGACCTCCGGGCCGGCTTGTGGGTCTCTGGTGTGTGGGGCTTTGGGCTTTGGATTTAGGGCTTAGGTACGGCTATGGGGTTTAGGACTAGTATGTCGCTGACAGCAAAAAAGGCCCTGGGGTTGGGGTTCTGGCTTTGCAGGTTTGGGGTATTCATTTTCGGGTTGGTGCGTTGGGTTCGGCATCGTGGAAGCCCGAAACCTGAAGAAGTCTGACGGCAACACCTAAGACGAGCAGACAGAATTCTTCAAGATGCCTAAAACCCTGGGGGAAAATGTCGTTCTTTATCCTTCCACAAGTATGCAAAAATACTGATCCCTCGAAGCCTTGTTGAATACGTTACCGCTTCTGGCTCTGCCCGGAGAGGTAAGCACTGAGAATCTGATCGAGCTGCTGCCCGCCATTGTCTAAGCCTCAGGCAGATGGCGGCCTGTAAGGCTTATAGGATATATCGGGCTTATGTCATAGGGGTAGGAGGTGGGGGGGTAGGGGTGTACTTCCTTCTTAGGCTTTATTAGGTCCTTATTAAAACAGGAATGAAGGCCCCCCTACCCTCCAAGGGTCTTTGTGGTTATGCGGTTCGGGTTTAGGGTTTATGTTGTGGCCCCCTGCAGGACTTGTAACTAGCTACTTGTGGCGTTGTGCTGGAGGCATGGCAAGGGTTTAGCACGTTTTGAGCTTCTCGTTCATTGGGAGAGGTTGCTGCGACTGCATCGTAGTATGTTCAGCAACTGTTGGCAGATAGAAGGGCACAGCCTGGCGAAAAAGACTTCAACTGGAGCCCTTGTAGCATCAGCATAGGACAGCAACATATATCCATCTCCGTCGGGGGATTCATGAATCGTGTAGGAGTTCCTCGCAACTGACCGGAAGTTAAAGAAGCCTGGGTGTGCCTTTGGAGCCTTCCCGGATGACCGAAGACTTTACACAGGTCATAGTCATTATAGTCGCATATCTTGTGATGTGGCTGTTGTTGGTCCACTGTTGCGCCGCGAAGCTCTTACTTAGTAAACTGAGTTCCAAGTAACACCCGCAACAAAACTGAAGTGGGTTGGGCCAGAATCTTTGAGGCCGGACTTGTTGTCTTCTTCCAGCTCGACCCACCGACGGATGTCGTGGGCTCGGAGGGCGCGCAGGTGATTCAGGGCTGGCCGTCTGAATCATACACTTCAGCGTCTGGATCCCCTCGGCTTGGAAGGCTGCCAATCCAATATGAGAGAGCAAGAGCGAAAGAGACGTGAGAAGTGACAAACAAAGCAAGGGCTTTGCCCCAGCTTCCCCGACTTCAGTCCCTCGGCCCTCGATGCTGAGGATTTAGATTCTGCTTGTCATTGCGGCTGGTTTTATCATAGGTAGTTAAGCCCGTACCCTCGTAGCTTTCGTGCTCTTCGTGGTAGCCTTCGTCTTCTTGTTGCCGTCAGCCCTCTTGCTCATCATCACTGGCAGTGCAATCTTCGCTGTTGCCGTTGCTGGCGTTATTAGTGTTGTGAATGGCAGTTACTTTCCAAGACGAGATGCCAAGCTATATCATGAACACCCTAGTGTTCCATCATCGATCTGAGCTGCAGGTCCAGTAATCCTGCTGCTGCTCGTGCTTGCATGTTGCATTGCTGCTACCACTAATTATCTTTACAATCCTTTGCAAAGAAAATTTAGTGCTGCTGGCTTACGGTCGCTGGACTTTGGCTTCGCGTACGGAGGGGTTTGGGTCTGTGGCTGGGTGTTCCATTGGAGGAGGGGATGAGAAATTTAAGTAGCTCGGAGTGGGTAGCATGTGTGCATGCGTAATGTTTGAGTTATCAACGGCTGCGGCATGGGGTTTAGTTTGGCGTCAAGACGTCTGTTTCAGTTTAGCATTTCAGACATCGCTGGGACACTCGAGGGTGTTTGCAACTTAGGTGAAGAAGAGTATGTTAAAATTGTAATTATTGCTACCTGTATTATTCTAATGATTATGACTGTTATTATTATTATCATTATCATGATGATTATTGTTGTTGTTATTTGAATTGCATCGTTCAGCAGTCTTCAGTCTGTAGCAGTCACGACCGTGAGGTGTTTCAGCTCCATGATCGCAGAGAGGACATCCTTTGTCCGGGGCCTGGTCCTATAGACACATGCTGGTACACGGTTCATCGTTCTTTACATGTTTATATGTGTGGATGTGTGGATGTGTGTATAATATGTGTGTATATATATACACATACATACATACATACATACATACATACATACAGACATACGGACATACAGACATACGGACATACAGACATACAGACATACAGACATATATATATATATATAGATAATATAGATAGACATATGAATGTGCATGTGGGGGACGAATCCCGATCGGCGCGAGGGATGACTGGGGTTTTAGACCACGTCACTTGGGTTTGATAGGCAAGCCAGGCCTGCGAGTACATTTGGGCTGGTCTCCCATCCAAATGCAGTGTACAGCATTTGGCCGCCATCGTGCATAGCCGGTGTTGCGCTAGCTGTAACAGCCCGGACAGCGACTAAACAGTTCTTGGGCACCGTCGAGTGCAGCTGGAGTGTCACAGTTTTGTGCCTTGCAAACAGTCTTGCCTTTGGAAGCCCCTGCCCTCAGAGAGGGTTCACTCTCTGGTACTATACGGTGTTTCAGGGTCTTAGAGCTTGTTCTTAGTTTTGGACTCTCTAGGATCCGATGTTCAGGATTTGGAAGAGCAAAGGGTATATGGGCTGCCTCAATATATTATGGTCTGGGCTGGTTAACGACCTTAACACCCGAACCCAAGCACACAAGGGCCCTGCAAAAGAACGGTCTTGCCAGAGTCGAGCAAAGGCTTTTGGCCGCAGCTGATGGCCGTGGTTGACAATGCGTCACCTCCCATAGGTACAGTGGGTTGCAATGGGGGATGTGTGTGCGTGTGTGTGTGTGTGTTTGTTTGTCTGGCTGGTTGGTTGTTTAGTGTTTAGCTGAGGGCCTGGGGGCATCAGAGCTTAGCTGAGTTCTCAAGGTTTAGGGTTTGGGATTCAACGTTTTGCATAAGAGTCGGGCACTTAGCATGTGAGCCCCGCAGGTCCTTGGGCACTGAGCGTTGTGCAGTCCAGCTGCAAATTGACTCTCGAGCTCGCATGGAGCAGCTGCAATTTTCCATAGAAGATTGATTGACCAGATTCTGCCGGCTGCAGAACCGTGGGAGCCACAGATAGCACGTCCGGCTATGTCCGGCTTCTCTGTAAAGTGTGGTTTCGCCAAGTGTTTCAGTGCTATACACGGCTATAACAGGAATGTGCTTTGCTGGGATTGATTAACAGTCTCCGGTCTTATGGTACACCTTGGTAACCTAAGCTCGAGGGGAGGGGTTGAAGCCGCCAGCATGGCATCGCGCCTGTGCCTTGCCATGTCTTTACGATCCTGCCGGGCAGTTGCACGCCATCTTTCGGCGTCGAGCGTCAGGCTGTGCAAGTTCGTGAAACTGTCTTAGACTTAGACATATTAGCATATTCATATGGTGCAAGCCCCACTGCACAAGCCCCGCGGCTTGGGTCGGAGAGTGACGGTGCATGAAGATTTCTTTGGTGTCCTGAAGTTTGCCATTCCATGTTCTGTGGAGGATCGGGGAGGGTGGGGCCGGCAGCAGGAGTTGAGTTCAAACCATTTTTAGACTTATGTTATGAACCACGAAGTCTGTTCATCCCCCGCCAAAGTTAGTTGTTGGATGTTGTTAGTGCTGCTTGAAGCCAGAGTCAGAGGTCCGCACCCTGAAGGGGTCGGCAGCTGCGCAGCCTGGGCGGTGCACCCCTCGACATGTCGTCAATGCCAACGATGGAGGCACAACGGAGTTTTGGATGGAGGGTTCGATGCGAAGCGTGTGTGAGAAAAAAATCTGGTTGGGTTAACGGGTCTTGAACGTTCGTAGCATTTGTTTCTTCCCATCGCTTCCAAGCCTTCAGCGATGGATCTGCCATGTGAGGATTGCGTGGGGGAGACCCCCCTGGTCCGACTGCAGCGCATGCTTCCTGCAGACAGTGGCTCTGTGGTGCTGTGTGCCTTAGCTGCCTTAGCTGATGGTGTGGGTGTGGTTCAAAGATCTTCACAGAATAATTTCAGCTTCGCCTAGAGTTCCCCACAGTGTTTGGGTAGGGCAAGGACCGAAGTTCGCTTGGTTGAGATCTGGCTGTGGAGGACCAGGCTTGGGCCATGATGCTTGATATCCCGGTGCGTGGTTGCGTGATCTCTCAGCATGCCGAAGAACACAACAAGTGAAAGAACAGGCAGGCTTCGGAGCCCCCGCAACCCCACAGCCCTAAAGCCGTGCCTATGATGAGTCGACAGCCGTGCCAGAAGGCAAGCTTGAGGGCGACAATCCGGCTGGCAGTGTCAAGGACCGGGCTGCGCTATCCATGATCAGGCCAGCAGAAACAGAAGGGATTCTTGAGTTGGTTAGTTAGAGTTCTTGGAGACATTGGTGTTGCAGGAAATGCTTGGTCAGACAAGATATGCTGACACCTGAAATGATTCGAAGTTAAAAGCTGCAGCCGCCCGTCGTGCTGCGCTTACTACTTACACGGGAGCGGGAGTTGCAGAACAAGTTTTCGAGTTGGGGGATGGACCGAGCGTGGGACAAGCAGTTTTTTGAAGCCCCCATTTTCTTTCCTGCATCGTCCCTTCCGACCAGCCCGCACAAGTCTAAAACTGGAAGATCCTAGTTGGTTTTCTTGCGGTTTACAGGAACACCCCACCTGCAACCTATCTTCCCTGCAACCTTATCTTCACTCAGACTACATCCTGAAATCACACATGCGTCGATGCGCACGACATAGGCGCATTGCCGCAGCCCGTCAGCTCTTGCCCGACAGCGATTTCGTCAGCATCCTGCAACACTTGCAACAGCAGCAGAGCTCCTGCACCCTGCGCATCCGAATACCTCGCCCTAGCATATAGTGCCCACAAGAAAAATCCCGCAGCCACTCGGTCCGCATCACCGAACCCGGATGCTCCAGAAGCTATGTCCTCCAGCTTCTTCACTTGCTCCACGGTCAAGGGCGGCCGTTGCCGTGTCTTCCGTTTGTCCAGATACAGCTTTGCTGACAGTCCCTTGACCCTCGGACTAAAGATGTCATCACTCATCCGAAGGCCCACCGTGTACTTTGCAAAAGCCAAACTGCTAAGGAAACTGCGAGCAACGGTAGGTGCCTCATGTGCTGCATAGTCCTGCAGAAAAGCATAAGCCCGCGACTCTGACATGGGGAACGGCTCCTCCTGGCAATACCACCGCAAGCAGCTTTATCATCACCATCAAAATTCACATGTGGACCGCTACCTCGTGTCCATCGTCACCTGCACCACAACCACTGTATCGTCATCACTACTGTACAAGATCAGACACACTTCGACCAACAAGCATACTTTCTGCACGAGGCGTGCTGAGGCCGGGGGCCGGATTAAACCCGGGGACACGCTGATCGAGGCCACATCTGGCAACACCGGCATTGCCCTGGCAGCCATCAGTGTCTCGAAGCCATACTCGTTTTTTTGCCGTTTCGTTCTTCATTGCCGGGTAGCAGGCAGCAGACCCCGAAACCCTCAACGCTGCAACCTGTACTCATGTAGGTGAGAGGATGTAAGAGCTAAGGCCCCGGTCGGGGAAAGCGGGACGACATAGCCAGAGCTCAGGTGCGATCAAAGGCTACAAGCTCAAGCTGATCATGCCAGAGAACATGAGCCTGGAGAGGACGGAACCTGAGATTGATGTTTGTGGCCTTCACTGCTGCTGCAATGAATGTCCCCAACAAAGCGCCAAATCCCGCAACGGTCTTCAACCTTCGCCTCGACCTCCTTGTGGAAGCTGCTTCAGGGCTCCCATTCAGTGCCTTCTGCACCCTTTGAACAAACGGGCCATAGATCATAGGGGTCCTTGGATGCAGGCGTACGAGCATGGCTGTTTATGGCGCGGAGCTGACCCTGGTATCCACCGGTGCCATGGAGGAGGCACCTCTGCAAGCAATTCTGTGAGAGGAACAGCTGTTTATGTAGCTCAGGGATGCCCCAACACCTAAGGCATCGAAACCGTTCTTGAACCCCCGCGAGGGTGTGTTTGTGTGTGCGTGTGTGCACGCAGTATGCATGTATGTATGTATGTATGTATGTATTTATGTATGTATGTATGTATGTGTGTATGTAGATCATGCATGTATGTACGCATATATATATATATGCTACCCC